ATATATATATATATATATATATATATATATATATATACATACTGTATGCATCTATCTATCTATCTATCCATAGATTTTATTATGTCGCATCATTATGTTTTTTCCTTCAATAAAAAAGTTACTGTCTCGTATGTTTGTCCTCATTTATCATACTTCTGTAATGTAGTTGATAGCTGGTTGGCTTGGTTCATGGTTTATAATGCTTTAATAAAGACTTTATTTTTTTTAAATAATCCCTATGGGAAAATTAATGGAACAAATACCTCTGGAACCAATGCCACTGAAAAAATGGGTGTGCACTAATGCACTTTATAGGTTGTTTCATGACCCTTTAAAAACAGTAAGCAGTAGGCCAGTATTCCATTCAGAGCAGATCACGTCAACGAAAGAGCAGCAATATATTTGTGTCCAAGTACACCCTAAATTTTTGGTCAGCAGACAGAATGTACTGCAATTCTCAAATCTAGTGTTAAGGCAGGCTGTGAAAACAAGGTTATAGTATAAAAGGGAGACGGCAGGGCACAAATAGCATGAATATGAAATGATTACACCATAATTAACTGTGCTGATTGATGTGATTAAAATATACATTGAAAAAGCAAAGTAAAAAGCACTGGTCAAGCAAAGGAAATGTACAGAAATAACGAAAGCTGTAAAGTATGACTGACAAAATCTGTACAGTATGACTGATCCTGTGGGGGAAGTCACATGATTTGGTGCCATATCCTCTCTTTGTAGCGCCAGCACACAAGCATGGCTGTCAGAAAGACAAGCAGCAGAGCCAATGTGACTGGAGTCAGGGGTGTCTTCTCCCCGCCCTCTTTCTTATTTACCTGCCCCTTCTCTGCCAAGCTCCGTTCCAGGTCGGCAATCCGTGCCTGACAGCCAATCAGCTCCGTCTGCAGCTGCTCCCGTGTCTGACGGACAGAGCACAGAGCCAATCAAAGAGCCAGCCTAGGGCATATGTACGCATAAACAATCTATATTGGCTTCTTTTGAATTTCAAAAGAATTTCAAATGACAAATGTTTGAAATTTTGGTCGCTTTTTTCTTTTTTTGAGGCAGGAATTTTCGGCCATGCTTGCTACAATGCTGGCTGTGATCAACAGATGAGTGGTATTTCAGTGTGGGTAAAGGAGATTCTGAAAAGCTCTTGGAATTCAATTCATTTCAATTGTATTTAAACATCGGCACGATTTGATTCAGATCTAAAAATTATCACACAAAAAAAAACAATAATAATGGTAAGACAAGGATCTTTCAGAATGTCCAGTGTTGGTGGGGTTAAACATGCGTCTGTGGAGTTAACGTCATGGGCCCTCACCCTGCAGTGTCTCTCAGGGTCCAGAGGCCCCTTAGTCTCCTGCAGCAGTGCGTAAGCTCGCTGCAGTGCCTGGTACTCTCGCGTCAGCTGCCGAAATCGAAACTCTGCCTCCTCTCGGGAAAAGCCCTGACGAATAACAAATGCAATTCCATTTGTCACATTTGTTCATGAGAATGCCAAGTAATTCCCAGCTGTTACTGTAAAATATGAAATCATTTAACGAGACATATGCATATTGTTCTAAACCTGTAGGGCTTTCTTTCTTCTGGTGAACACAAAAGATTATAGTTTGAAGAATTTTAGTAACCAAAGAGTTTTGGGGGAGGTGGTGTGGAGTTTATAAAGCACCAAGAAAGTCATACAGGTTTGCACCGACAACAAGAGGGTGAGAAAATGATGTCAGAATTTTCGGTAACACTTTATTTTGATGGTCCCTTTTTGAGCATTCAGATGACTATAAGTAACTTTGCACCTACATGTCAACTAACTCTCATTAGAGTATTATTTGACTGTCTGCTTAATATCTGCTAACTCTTTATTGTGATGGCGTCCCAACAGACATTCTACTGACTATAAGTAACTTTGCAATTACATGTAAACTTATTCTAACCCTAAACCTACCAGTCTACTAATACTCTACTGACACTCTAATGAGAGGTAGTAGATATGTAGGTGCAATACTACTTATAGTCAACAGAATGTGTTGAAGCGACCATCAAAATAAAGTGAAACTGAATTGTCATTTATAGGTGAACCATTATAAGGATAAAGCTAGCTAAGTAGTTCCTGAAAATCATAAACACAACACAAATATTTTGGTTATTATTGTGCTATCTATTTTTTTGGTTATGATTTTGCTTGCCTGCAGTGGGAAAATATTTTTGAAGACATTTTTTTTGGGGGGTGAACTGCCCCTTTAAGACCAAGCACTGAATCAGGTAGTACTGGGATGCATGATTTCAGATTGTTCAAACTCATCTGGTTTTCCAGAAAATTTACACAGAAATGGATTCTGCTTGTGTATCATAAAGGCCCATTATATTTAATACAATTAAAGTGCATTCCTGTAAAAGCGTCTGTAATTATCATTATCATGAATCACATCCTTTCACAATACACATTGTCAAGTCAAGTCACCATTATTTACAGGTGCATCTCAATAAATTAGAATGTCATGGAAAAGTTCATTTCAGTAATTCAACTCAAATTGTGAAACTCGTGTATTAAATAAATTCAGTGCACACAGACTGAAGTTGTTTAATTCTTTGGCTCTTTTAAATGTGAATTTCAAAAGAATTTCAAATGACAAATGTTTGAAATTTTGGTCGCTTTTTTCTTTTTTTTGAGGCAGGAATTTTCGGCCATGCTTGCTACAATGCTGGCTGTGATCAACAGATGAGTGGTATTTCAGTGTGGGTAAAGGAGATTCTGAAAAGCTCTTGGAATTCAATTCATTTCAATTGTATTTAAACATCGGCACGATTTGATTCAGATCTAAAAATTATCACACAAAAAAAAACAATAATAATGGTAAGACAAGGATCTTTCAGAATGTCCAGTGTTGGTGGGGTTAAACATGCGTCTGTGGAGTTGACGTCATGGGCCCTCACCCTGCAGTGTCTCTCAGGGTCCAGAGGCCCCTTAGTCTCCTGCAGCAGTGCGTAAGCTCGCTGCAGTGCCTGGTACTCTCGCGTCAGCTGCCGAAATCGAAACTCTGCCTCCTCTCGGGAAAAGCCCTGACGAATAACAAATGCAATTCCATTTGTCACATTTGTTCATGAGAATGCCAAGTAATTCCCAGCTGTTACTGTAAAATATGAAATCATTTAACGAGACATATGCATATTGTTCTAAACCTGTAGGGCTTTCTTTCTTCTGGTGAACACAAAAGATTATAGTTTGAAGAATTTTAGTAACCAAAGAGTTTTGGGGGAGGTGGTGTGGAGTTTATAAAGCACCAAGAAAGTCATACAGGTTTGCACCGACAACAAGAGGGTGAGAAAATGATGTCAGAATTTTCGGTAACACTTTATTTTGATGGTCCCTTTTTGAGCATTCAGATGACTATAAGTAACTTTGCACCTACATGTCAACTAACTCTCATTAGAGTATTATTTGACTGTCTGCTTAATATCTGCTAACTCTTTATTGTGATGGCGTCCCAACAGACATTCTACTGACTATAAGTAACTTTGCAATTACATGTAAACTTATTCTAACCCTAAACCTACCAGTCTACTAATACTCTACTGACACTCTAATGAGAGGTAGTAGATATGTAGGTGCAATACTACTTATAGTCAACAGAATGTGTTGAAGCGACCATCAAAATAAAGTGAAACTGAATTGTCATTTATAGGTGAACCATTATAAGGATAAAGCTAGCTAAGTAGTTCCTGAAAATCATAAACACAACACAAATATTTTGGTTATTATTGTGCTATCTATTTTTTTGGTTATGATTTTGCTTGCCTGCAGTGGGAAAATATTTTTGAAGACATTTTTTTTTTTTTGGGGTGAACTGCCCCTTTAAGACCAAGCACTGAATCAGGTAGTACTGGGATTACATTTTCTATGTGTTTTATATTGGTTTACATGAGCACACTGTATATATACAGATAAAGCTGGATATAATACATACCCAACTTTATACAGCTGTGCGATAATACAGTTTACATTGTGCAACAATAAAATGGTTGTTGTAAACAAACAACTGTTTACAGTTAGTAACAGTTTCAGTCAGTAATCTAAAATCAAACTTAAAACAAATTAAATTTGTGCCTAATTTTTATGACATTTTTAGTGAAGAAAATCTTATTTAATGAACAGCATATTCGAGGGAGCTGAGAACACTACATGAACACATTGTTATGGGATCGTCTTCATGGTGCAGTTAATGACTCGATTATAATCCCACTCCTCGTTAACTAGCTCTGGCTATCAGTAAACAACATGAAGGTAGGGGGCCACTTATGAACAAGAGAACTGCTGAGATGCCTCATCATCTGACCAAATAACAAGCCTAATTCAAATGAATGCTCGGAATTAAACAAACACTGTAGTTTGACACCATGTTTACATTCTCCCAGGCTGCCAAATTTATGAAATGAATATGCAGACTACAGTTGTATACTGTCAGAAGATCATCGAAATGTAAGGGTGGTGTTAATGATTGCCACGGTACTGCTATGTGGCTGCAAATTTGTTTTCGCTGTATTGCTATGTGGTTGCTCAGAATTAAATTTAAGTACTCGTAATAAAATTTTCATGGACAGTAAGTAAGTAGCTGTACTGGGCTTTAATAAGCTAAATTATTTGATGCATTATCCATGTCAAACGTGCAGAGCAAGTTACACATGCTAGCAAATCACACTAAAAAACGGAAAATATGATTTAAGAGACAGACGTAAACAGGATTAAGATTCTAACTGGTGCATTTGGTTCGGATGTGCACTACCATTCAAAAGCATAGGGTCAGTAATTTTTTATTTACTGTCATTTTTAAGGAATGTAATGTGTCATTGCTGAATAAAAGCATTAATTTCTTTCAAAAAAATCAGTAAAGGCATTTACAGTATAATGTTACAAAAGATTTCCATTTCAAATAAAAGCTGTTCTTTTGAACTTTTTTATTTATCAAAGAATCCTGAAAAAGTGCATCACGGTTTCCACAAAATTATTAAGAAGCACACCTGTTTTCAACATCGATAATAATATGAAATGTGTCTTAAGCAACAAATTAGCATATACAAATTATTTCTAAAGGATCACGTGACACAGAAAACAGTAATTGCTGCTAAAAATTCAGTTCTGCCCTCACAAGAATAAATTACATTATAAAACACAAAACAGGTATTTTAAGTTGTAATAATATTTTACTGTTTTTACTGCATTTTCGATCAAGTAAATGCAGCCTTTGTGAGTATAAGAGAGGAAAATCTTACTGACCCCAAACTTTTGAACGGAGGTGTAGTTGAGCTGCAAGAGTGTTTAGTGCAGGTATTAAGGTTTGTAAAATAATTTATTACATGACATACATCTTCAAGATCCTCTTCAGGGGTGGCAGGGGTGTGATCTGTGCGGTCGGTGTTATATGATGTCAGAGATGACGTTTCAGAATCGACAGATTCTTCATCAAATCCAAAATATGTCTCCACAACATGCCTCTGAAAAAGAAAGAAACCAGTGCTTAAATATTATACACATTCACATTAAACTAGTGTAATAAAATCACTTACTAACCTAACTAATGTCCAATTTAACTTTCAGACAATATCTGCAAGTAGCCTATACCAAAAATGAACATGCAGTAACTATCTGCACAGTACAGTTTGCCGCTCCTCTCTTTAGTTTACACAGATACAAATCCACCCACAGGAATTATGATGGTAATGCATGACCAGAAGTCCACCTTCCCAGTAACAGCAGTGCCACGGAAAAATGAATGCGAGTGATTTAACAAAAATATGACCCTGACCGTTTCTGCTTTTAAACCTTTTGGAATGTCTTACATTAAGTGCATTACTCTAAATGTTCATTTTTACAAAACGAGAGAGTCAATATTATTGTCATTACTACCCACATATGCTGTGAACACAGTGTGACTTGTTTCTAAATCCAGAATAATCATAAATAAAAAAAAGCTAATTTTCATGGACCGTACAATATGCAACTGACACCCAGATGTCCTTTGAATACACTACGCAATTGCTCTTACCATCGTGTTTGTAGGTCATCTCCTGACAGCCAGAGAAATACAGACACACCAGAGCACACAGACACAGGAACATGGAGAGATACAGCACCAGCAGGAAGTACTCTGGCATACTGGATGTGTATATGTGCTCCTCAGTCCAGTGTCATGGTATGCGGTATATCCTTTTAACCTCTTTAACCAGCATCATCTTCCTCAGTGTTCACAGGAAATGAGAGTTACAAATGTGGTTTAAAGCCTGTGTTACAGTAATGTCTCCACTGACTCCACCTCCATAGCAACGGTTCTTGAGAACGAACAACTAAACCCCACCCCACAGCACAGCACCACAAACACACACAGGTTTAACTTCATTAAAATATGAATGTGCAGTACTATATACAGTATAAAGCTAATCATAAAAAGCTTATATATTAATTATTTCATATACTAGTGACCCACACTCAAACATTTTTAGAATAAAATAAAACATTATTTCATGTATTTAGTAGTATTTATTTTTTTTTAATTCATGACATCCTCAAATGTTCCCAAAGGGGGGTTTTGTCAGATTTAGCTAACAAAAAATGAATAATTTTGGATTCAAAGTACAGTGAAGTAAACCCAAACATACGCAAACTCTGAAGGACCCTAGGACAGTTAAATCACAGCTGCGTTAACAGACTTTTGTGTTGAGAAAATAGGGTTTTTAGTTGTTTGGATGACTGGCTTAACCTTCTAGGCAAAAAACAGAAATCAAAGACTGTTTAAATGATGTTTAGCTGGTGAAAGCATGAGAAAGAAAAAAGAACTTGGCTTGACTCAGAGGTCTCGAGAGGCCAATTATTGTGCCAATGTAACCAGCACACACATGAAGAAACACACACACACACACAAACACACACACACACACACACACACACCTCAGAGGAGACAGTTGCTATCAGAGGTCTCGAGAGGCCAATTAATGTGCCAATGTAACCAGCACACACATGAAGAAACACACACACACAAACACACAAACACAAACACCTCAGAGGAGACAGTTGCTTAGAGACAGTGTCCATATGCTTTAACAAAAAGAGAAAGTAACCAGAGCAAAACTTCCATCAAAGAGACTCCAAATATGGTTCAATATAATTCTATGAATGAGAGGATCAGCTCACCCTGGGCAACTTGATGTTTTTTCGCCTGTTCTTTTTGTTGATTATCAGCCTGTCCCGTTCCTGAAAGCACATCCAGACATCACATTAAAGAAGTTGTTAACAATACAATACAAAAACATACAACTTATAATCTTCATTCAGCAGAACATATAAAGAGTGAGTTTCTTTTCACATTGAATCAAGTATGAGTGTTACAGTCCAACAAGTTTACACTACTGTGCAAAAGCTTTTTTTAAGTCTCTTATGCTCACCAAGGCTGCATTTACTTAATGAAAAATACGGTAAAAACAGTAATATTGAGAAATATTATTATAATAGAAATAGCTGTTTTAACATTTTAAAATGTAATTTATTTCTGTGATGGCAAAGCAGAATTTTCAGCAGCCATTACTCTTCAGTGTCACATGATCCTTCAGAATTCATTCTAATATGCAGATTTGTTACTCAAGAAACATTTATTATTGTCAGTGATGAAACCATTGTACTTTTTTTTTGAAAACGTCATATTTTTATTTATTTTTTTGCTGTCACTTTTTTGTCGATTTAATGCACTCTTGCTGAATAAAGGTATTAAAAAAAATGTTTGAATAGCTTTTCAAAAAATGTAATAATAGTGTATGTAAACATTGCCACATGCAATACTGCTGTATTGCTGGTGATCCTTCAGAATTCATTCTAATATGCAGATTTGTTACTCAAACATTTATTATTGTCAGTGATGAAACCATTGTACTGCTTTTTTTTGGAAAACGTCATATTTTTATAAATTTTTTTGCTGTCACTTTTTTGTCGATTTAATGCACTCTTGCTGAATAAAGGTATTAAAAAAAATGTTTGAATAGCTTTTCAAAAAATGTAATAATAGTGTATGTAAACATTGCCACATGCAATACTGCTGTATTGCTGGCAATACTGTAATATCAGCGTGCATATTAACAGAAGTCATTAGGGAGGGGAAGAGAAAATGAGAGTGACGCAGTAATTCATTTCTAATTAGGCTTTGCCTTAATGAAGTAAACAAACTAATTAACAGACACGGCACTGATTACCAATCACAAATAATTACAGGGTGAGACCAATTAGAGAATAAGCACACACAGTACACACACACACACACACTGACACAAACACAGCTACACAGATTATAAGCTAAAAACCAGGCAAGGACACAGAATATGTATCTGTAACTAGATTTAAAGATAACATGAAATCAAAATGGACAATCTTTACTTTTTAAAATGAATTTCCTGGTTTTATTGTGTGCTTATCATTGAAATGTTAATTTTCATAACCTGTAACCAAAATGTAATATCTTCTGAAACTTTCTTATTTGCTGATGTAACCAAAGCTGTGTGGGTGGGGTAATAAACACTCACCTATTAATGGTTTTTCAGAAATTACCTTTCATGTAGTGTGTAATATAGCAGTTTGTGGATGTAAAAGGTCTGCAAAGTGCACGACCAATGATATTTCATTCCCAAATGAAAGAACTGATTCTGAACTGCCTCAGTAATTCCAGTCTTATTTCCTGCACAAACCAATGTAGGTTTGTAACAAATCTGCATAATGGTCTTAGAAGACACTATTTTCTGGGCCGCAAAGGTGAAACCACTTTGAATGAAGTCCCAAAGGATGAGGATGTTGAGGAGTCAAAATGTATTATACAGTAACAGCAGTATAACTCCAACCTCTCGTTGTGTTCCCGTCATTTTACTCTCGACTGCTTCTCAAACCTTGCAAATTTCAATGCGGGATTTGCAAAACACTTATTCCTTAAAGATGGAGCTGTACACATTTTATTTTGACCATCTCGTGCCTCTGGAACACAGCCTGTAAGTATGATTTATTATTTATGCATATATTTTCTTAGTGTTCAAAATGCATAGTTTTGTGTGCACTGCTGTAAACCCTCAGCCAACTCACACTTTTCTCTTGAATTTCTTCTGCTCTGAAATTCTAATTGCAAATATCAACATGTGTGTTTATGGCTGACGGAAACAAACAAACCTGCGTGAGCTCATCAATAACACCACGCTGCTCGCTGATTTGCAAGCGCAGATACTCGACTTCCTGTTGCTCGTGGGCGTGACTCAGGTCCGTTAGAGAGGTGTGTCTCTTCAGCCCACCCGGCTGCAAGTTCTGCTGGGATTTCTCTTTCTGAGGAAACACAGTGACAAAGATATAGTATATAGATATAGTAAAGTTACTATATAAACATTGTGTGCTTAAGTACAGATGTAACAAATGTTAAACGTTCATTAAATTAAATCTGAATAAAAATGTTTATCAAAATGTAACAAATCTGAAACTAATGTTGTTTTCTGATGATGTGACAATAGCTGAGCCAATCAGACCCTGATTATTAAAACCATGTCCTGTACAACATTATTTCCCATAATTTTCAGTTTTCCCTTAACAGCACACCTGCTCTGCATTCTCTCTGCTGAGTGTCTTCAGTTTGTCCTCCATGCGCTGTAGAGTCTGCTGCAGCTCTTCATTCTTTTTATCCAGCCTTTTATTCCTTTCAATGAGAGGCTTTATCTCTGCATCTGTTTCTCGCACTCGTTTCAGCTGTATGACAGAGAGAGAGAGACTGATCTACATACAGAATGATAGACACCTGTACTAAAGTCCAATTGGGATTTCCATCATAATTTGGAAGCTATCATAAAGGATCCTACTGTGTGAGAATTATCTTACAGATTTTTACAACACAAAATATAAATCTTTTGAGAACCAACTGTGTAATCATTAATTGCTAGGAAGAATTAACAGAGGAGAAAATGCAGGTTAAAGGGGTGGTTCACTGGCTTTTTTCTAGGCTTGATTGTGATTATGGGGTGCAGTCTAACATGTGTTAATGCTTTGTTTTTTTTTAAAACTCATTATTTTTCACATAATTTACCTTTATTCCACACCGCTCTGTCCCTTCTCTGAGAAACGGGCTAATCTTTTCCTGTTTTATGAAGCCCCGCCCTCAGAAATAGGCGATGGGCTCTGATTGGTTAGTTAGTCCAGTGTGTTGTGATTGGCTAAACCGCCTCTAGTGCTCGTCTAAACGCCCCGCCCCTCTCCTCAGCGGCATGTGCTCAGGTTGTATTATAAACAACGGCGTCGTTAATATCGTTTATCAGTTTGAGCTCGATTGAGAAGCAGAGGATATTATTGAAGAGGATCGTGCAGAACCAGTGCAAGCACGGCTTTTAATGGTAGGCCTATGTTTTTTGTTTGTTGTTGTCTCATACTTTTAGATACGCTGTTATTTGTAAATTCTACTTCTTAAGTTAGCTTTTAATATACGATTTTGTCCTGATTAAAGCTTTAATACAGTACGGCAACTGCACGCGCATTCATGTATAACGCTTCTCATAGCTATGTGAAAATAAGTGTATAAATGGAATAGAACTGAGCTGATGATCTGAATGAGAGAGAGAGATGCAGAGCGTGTGCAGAGCAGGGGGACGCGAGGAACAGTATTAAGAACCGCTGCTTTAGAACATTGATTTTGAATCTTGTGAATCCATTAGAATCGTTAGAAGACAGAATTGCGATTCATATACGAATAGATTTTTACGTGCACCCCTAGTTTTCTCTTCCTCTTCTCTAAAGCAGCGCAGCATGGCCTCGCCCCCTTTGCTGCCTTTTCCCGAGGGTGGGGTTTATCTGGGTTTGTGATGTCACAAACCCAGGAAGTAACTCGTTGTAGTCCCTGTACCAGCCGTTTTTGTAGGCATTAAACTGCCAGAATTTTAAAAGACGATATCTCAGTTTTCATTGACCTTTCAGCTTCGTATCTTTGCAGATATTGTTTATGCTCAAACAGCAACATTACACACTAACTAACATTAAATAAGTGAAATCGCAATCAACCACCCCTTTAAATATACACATATATAAAATACATTAAATAAGGTTTGGTACTTGATATAAAATCTGGGAATCTGGGTCCTGAAGCAAAACCAGTTGAAAATTGGAAAATTGAAAACATTGTTCCCAATAATCTTTCACTATTACAGGTTTAACAATGTAATTTTACTGCAAAATACTGTCAAATCTATGTTTTTAGAAGGAAAAAGTATTATTTACCATATAAAAAACAACTGAGAAAAACAAAGTTCCTTGTGTGACACACCCCATATATCATTATATTTTAAGTTTTGTTTTTTCATATTTATGTTAACAGTAATGCAAAGTTTTTTCATTAACACCCTGATGGTGTTTTGTATGTATCATGTGCATCAAAGCTATATGTGAGTACTGGCCATGTTTATGAACAGGGCATTTGCTTTGGATTCATCATGTGGCTTTGTATTGTACCACCTGGTTATCAGTACATTTTAAGGTACAAAGCATTTTGGTAGTTCTGGTGGCTTGTATATTAACATTTTATCACTTAATGAAATACTCGGTTATAAATTGTAAAATATACAGGCACCAGTATTCCATCCTATAACAACTGAAACATTGTCATAGTACTTTTACACAGAATTTTTGGCAACCACAGCTGCCATTTTTTACTGTACATTTAACAGGATATTTTACAGCTCATATAAGATCCTATATGATTTTTGTCCGTAGTTTGTTGAGAGTGTGTATATATGTACCAGTTCGTTTCTCTCATCTGAAAGCAGGGTGTTCCTATCCTCTAGTTTCCTGATGACTGCATGCAGCTCAGCAATCTTCAGCTGAAATCTCCTTACATCCCTCTCATCCATGTCCTATGAATGGATAAACGCTTTATTGTGTGATGGTGTGAAGTTCAGCATGCAGGAAAAAGCTCTCTGCCATGTTAGTCCAGCTCTAATGAGCGTTTATGTTCCTGATGATATAAAAGCTTTTTATCAGCCATTTCTGATTGCAGAACAGAACGAACCTGGTTATTGACAGAATCTGAGTTTTCCCCGAGAGACGGCGCCACCTCTCTCTTCGGACTCCCATAATGCCGCTCTGATTCCTCCTTCTGCAGCAGTAGACGCTGTGTCTGTCCCGCCTGCACTCCCAGCTCTTTTTCCAGTGACTGCACCACACGGTCTCTGCTCTTCAACTCGTCCATCTGACACAAACACAAACATACATTGAAGTGCATGCTTTTTGTGATCCATTTCACAAAATGTACTTCCTTCAGGTCTAGCTGCTGTACGAATAGCAAAAATAGCATTGAGGTAATTCCTAGTTATGCGCAGATATAGAAACTTTAAGGTTTTGGGCCAGTAAGTAAGTTTGTTTTTAGATTTAGATTTTTGACAGTAAAGACATCTACAAAATATTTCTATTTCAAATAAATGCTGTTATTTTGAACTTTTTATTCATTGAAGAATCCTGAAAAAAGGGTATCACAGTGTCCACAAAAATATGAAGCAGCATAGCCGTTTTCAATATCGAGATCATAAGAAATGTTTCTTGAGCACCAAATCAACATATTAGAATGATTTCTTAAGGATCATGTGACACTGAAGACTGAAAGCTGAATAAATTAAATACATTCAAATAGAAAACAGATATTTTAAATTGTAATAATATTTCACAATATAAACAAAAACGCTTAAAAAAAAAACACTGACCCCACCTTTTGAATGGTAGTGTACATAAACTGTGTACATAAATTGGTGTATATTAAATAATAAGCTTTTGGTGTGGCCAATAATTAATTTGTTTTTCAAAACTGTATAAAAAGTAATATAACTTTCTTAATGCCAAACAGATCTCTATTTTTTTTTTAAATCATCCTTTGATGATGTATTGAACACATCCAATTTTCTTCATTATAAGGGTGCTAATATCAATTCGGTGCAAAAAATTTAAATAAAAAACTAAAATCCTGTCTATCTGTCCTCTGTCATAAGAAACACAATTCATGACTGATTGATATAAGTAATGAGACTGAGACATTTTGAGGGCTTTTATACATTAATATCAGCTGATATTAAAAACATTATGTATATTAAAAATAAACATTTGTAGGTTGATTCCCCCCAAAAGGTGTAAACCAGAGCAGCCACACTGAATCAACCAATTGCCTGAGTGCCTGAGACGACAGCCATTATTTTTACAATTTCATGTGGTGACGTTTTTAGATAACTCCATCCATCTTTCTTACCAGTCTACCAGTCTCCCTCTCGCTCTCGCGTTTGATTCTCTGGATCTCCAGA